AATTAAAGCTGGGGAACACCTATTTGCTCCTAGCACTTGGAAGGCAGAGGCAGGCAGATTTCTATGAGTTCCAAGTCAGCCTAGTCTACAATGTGAGTTGCAGAAGAGACCCTGTCAACAACAACAACAACAACAACAACAATAATAAATCTATAGAATGGATAGATAATGGATCTTAACATTGGACTAGTGCATGTACATGTATGTACACACACACACACACACACACATAGATAGGACTGGGAATATATGCTCAATTGGTAGAATGGTTGCCTAGCATGCATGAGGCCCTGGGTTCAAACCACAGCACTACATAAAGTAGGTATGGCAGTGCATGCCTGTAGTACTAGCACTCAAGAGGCAGGAACATTAGGAATTTAGTGTCATCCTTGGTAGACGCATTGGGAGTTCAAAGTCAGTTTGGGCAGCAGAAGACCATGGTTCAAAATAATAATAGTATTAATGTCCGGAAAAAGTAAATGCAATTAACCATTGGGTTACTAAAAATATTAGCAACAACAAGTCTTTATTTCTGGATTTTAAAGCAGGCTCTTAGAACTCCAGGCTATCTTTGGACTCACTGTGTAGCCCAAGATGGCTATGATGCCTCCTGGAGTGCTGGGATTACAGCTTGTACCACTATGCCTCGCTTAATAAAAGAAGTATCAGAATAATGATTTGGCTTCAATTATAGGTTGGTCACTATAATCAGTTAATTGCATTTCAGCCCCTGCTGGAATTAATACTCTTTTGTATTCTGAGATTCAACCACAGTCACTGCTCAACCACTTGGAAACTTGGAGAAAATGAGAAGCAGGTGCTTCTTCATCTAGGAACCACAGTCCCGGGCTAACCCTGGGTGATCAGGGCTTAGGATGGATTCAGCTGCCTTCCTCCCTGGGCCTGAACCTCTGTGTTTGGAGCAACTCGAACTGTTTCAGACAATAGTCCATGAATGTCCTGTGGGGTAGCAAGTGAAGCAACGCTGTCCGTGAACAACATGTGTGTTCATGCATATGAGTACATATGTGTATACTGGGATAACAGTGTACAATAACTTTCTGTGTGTACATGTATATGTGTGTATATACACTATATATGTATGTATATATATATATATGTATGTATATATGTATATATTCGTGTGTGTACAGACACATGCATGTAAAAGCCAGAGGTCTGTGTCAGGTTTTCTTGTTCAGTCACTCCCCCACTTATTTTCTGAGACAGTGTTTGTCCTTGAACCTGGGGCTTGCTGAGGAGGCTGGAAATGCTGACCCAGGAATCCTGCCTTTGCCTCTGTAGTGCTAAGATCACAGGCACGCTGCTATGCCTGCCTTTTCTCCTCCCGTTCTGGGGGTTCTGGCAGACTCAAACCCAAGTCCGCACGCTTGTGTGACAAGCACTTTAGCCCGTGGTATGTAACCCTTTCGATGCCAAAGATATTCTGTTTCCAACCACACGAAGGATTTCTTTCAACAAAACAGACTGAATATATTACATCATAACTAATTTTCTTACCCATCTTTGCGAATCACAGACTAAATAGTCACTAAAATTATGTTCTAGAAATTATTTCATTGCTCTACATACCCAGTGAGGGTGGCCAGTTAGCATGATAATGAGCATGCAAACGAGACAACATTCCAATTGAGGGCAGGAAATGTTTTCATCGCTCTGAACAACAACAGTTTTGAAAAACTCTCATCAGCAAGGCTCTGAAATTTCAATGGCTTAGTGCTCTGGGTGGGGCTTAGATCCTGGGTGTGATCTGGAAAATAGCTCGACTTATCAGTTGGACTCTACTTATGACCATTTAGGGCCATTCCTCTGGGGAATCACACTCATAACGCAGGGATTCTGCTGAGATCCACAGGAGGGCACTAGTATCCAACATGGCTCCTGCCTCTTCTGGAATATATTCCCAGCAATACTTTCCTCCCGTCCTTAAACTCAATGCCTGGATAGTCACATGACCAGCCCTCAGGCATTTTGGTTTCAGGAGCCCTTTAAACCCTTAACAGTTTTTAAAGATTCCCAAAGTACTGTAATCAACATTTAATCATATGAGAAAGTAAAGCCAAGAGCAAGTTAAATACTTACAACATTTTAATAATGAATTTGGTACATAGTAACAGAAACAACATTATTTTAATGCCAGTGATTATATTTCCCAACCAAAAATACTATGAGATTTTGCTTCACATTTTTGAAAATCAACCTGATGTCCAGCTAAATGGAAGGCAACTGCTTCTACATTTGACCTGTGGGGACAGACATGTGTGTACCATGCAGCCCCTAGTGAACTCTGCCATACATTCCTGGGCAACTAAATTAATAAAAACAAGCAGCTGGGTTTGGCAGGATGGCTCAGTGGGTAAAGGTTCTTGTCTCACAGCCTGAAGTCTAAAGTTACTTAAATTCCATCCCTGCAGCCCACAGTAGCAGAAGAAAACTCATTCCCAAGGATTATCCTCCAACCTCTACATATGTACTATAACACATATGCCCACACATCCAATTTAAAAAAAAAGTTTAATAAAATAAATAACAGGCTGGAGAGGTGAGTCAGCAGTTAAGAGCATTTAACCCAGGTTCTATTCCCAGCATCCAGATGGGATCCCTAGTCCTGGGGAATCCATTGCCCTCTTCTGGCCTCTTTTAGCACTGCACACATGTGGTGTATACACATACATGCAGACAAACACTCATATACATAAAATACAAACAAAGGAAAAAAGAAGAAAGCAAATAACACCTTAGCATTATTTAAAATAATCTTGACCTTCTAAGGTCCTTGTACTTAAGGGTCCTGGGGCCATATTCAGGAAACTACCCCCTCGGGGCATCATTTTCCAGAAATTCCAAGCTCAGCTTAATTTGTTTGCTTATTGAGACAAAGTTTCTTGTACCCCAGGATATCCTCAAATTCAAACTGAGATTCCAAGCCTATCCCACCACCTCCAGCTTATTTATGTATTTATTTTACTCTTTCTCCTTATAAAGCAGTGTCTCCAGACTTCCACTTCCTGTCCCTGACTGTTGACTCAAGTGTCTGCTAGACACAGGACACTCTCCATCTGGACTCCTTAGTGGCTTCCAGCACCAGAGTTACATCAGGCTACAGCCTCTTGACCCTAGCTTTGTCTGCTCTGTCTGCTCTGCCTGGTCTGCTGCTTTGCTTGTTTGGGGAGGTTATAAAATCACGGGATGGGGGGCAACCCGGAAGAGTCAGTTTTCTCCTCCCACAATGTGGGTCTTAGGGACAGTAGAAATTAGGTTGTCAGGTTTGGCAAGTAAAGTGCCTTTATCCACTCAGTCACCTCACAGGCTATTTTCTAGCTTTTAAAGACAGAATTTAAAACCCCATAGTCCAGGCTGGCCTAATTCCTGGTCCTCCTGCCTTTACCTCCCAAGTGTGGGATTTTAGACAAGTACCACCATGGCCTCTGCCTACCTTCTTCATGCCCCGTAGAATCTGGCATATATCTATTGTTACGCCTCTCAGACCCACCCTAACCAATTGCTGGTGCTACCACTACACTTGGTACTTAAGTGGTTTAAAAGGAAACAAGGCCGGGCGGTGGTGGCGCACGCCTTTAATCCCAGCACTCGGGAGGCAGAGCCAGGCGGATCTCTGTGAGTTCGAGGCCAGCCTGGACTACCAAGTGAGTTCCAGGAAAGGCGCAAAGCTACACAGAGAAACCCTGTCTCGAAAAACCAAAAAAAAAAAAAAATAATAATAATAATAATAAAAAATAAAAGGAAACAAGATGGGCCGGGATGTGATGCAATTGGTAGAGTGGTTGGTTGTCTTTCACGCAGGAGGCCCTGGATTTGATCCCTAGCTCTCCACTTGGGGGCGGGGGTGCTGTGAAGGCGGGAGAAGCCTGAATACTACATAAAATTTGTGTATGTTTTAATATTTTGATGTGTGCTCCAACAAGTTGGTTTCTTTGGTAAGGTGGAGGATTTTGTGTGTATTTGAGAGCATGCTAATGTCCACAGGCTTCTCTAGGCTTCCCACGGGGCGGGGGGTGGGGTGGGGGGGACGAGGACAGGGCAATCAGCCAGCAAAGGGTGAGAGTTCTTTGTGGGTGTGACTAAGGACCCATTCTTTCCAGGCAAAGCTGACAAGCTGCACGTGGGTGTTGCCCCACACTATCTGCCCAGGCCAGGCTGGGAGCAGAGCCACTCCCCCGCAGGACAGGCCCCAGCCGCCGTTTGTATAGTCCCCCCACTTGTGGAATGCACACAGCTTTATATCAAATCCACATGGTGTGCTGGAGCAGCACGAAAGGGCTTGACCAGGCAGACAGCGCTCCCAGGCCTTGCCGGCACTGGGAAGGTTCGAGCGACCTAAAAGGTAATGCGGGTCCCTCTCCTCAGCTGAGGCCCCTGGGTGACATCCTCAGCCACAGGAAATTGGATCACCGGGGCGCCCTGAGTTCCCAGCCTTGACCTCTGGACTCTGAAACGAGCCCAACTAAGAAGGTAGTCTCTCTGCCAAGACGTAGTCAGAACCCACGCACACAGATGCAGGGGCTGTCGCTGAATTCTGGGGCGAGGCAGCAGGGTTCCCTTGCCCTCTTCCCTGACTCTGCCATCCCTCGGCACGTGCACAGGCTACGACCCAATTCTGGCCATTGCTCAGCGGGCTACCGGGACCTGTCCTAGAAGGAAGACTCGGGACAAAGGCGAGAGGCACACAGAACAGAGAAGGAAAACTCCACCCGAGGTCCCCAGGTCCAGGCAGGCGCTCACAGAGATGGATGGATCCAGGAAATCGATGCCACCCTAGACCTCGCATGCTCCTAGGGTGACAGCAACAGACCGGCAACCGGGATCCTCTAGGCGCACAGACCCAGCGGAGCGCCCCGCACCCGGGCAGCTAGCTAGCTCTAGGGTCCCCGCGGGCGACGCCCAGCTCCCACATCCGTCTCTCTGGACTGGCGCCCCCAGCGTACCCTGGTATTGCTCCCCGCCCGGCCCCAACTCACATAGACCGACGTGATGTCCGAACGATCATAGAAGCTCAGCTCTCCAATCAGTTCCAGAGCGGGAGACACGATGTCGTCCCCGGCCTCCAGCTCTAGGTCCCCCTGAGCAGGGCCGAAGGGGAAGAGCTCCTGACGGCTCAGGCAGCCTCCGGGCCCCGCCAGTAACAGCTGCAGCAGCAGCGCCCACATCCACGCCACCGGGCTCCAGCCGCTCGCGTCCAGCATGTTTCCCAACTGTAGTACCGCAACCCGGGCGGCTCCAACTCAGGCGGAGGAGGCGGAGATGTAACCCGACGCCCCTTGGCAGCCCCTCCTCGCCTCCTGCCTCCCGGCGTCCCCACCCCGGGAAATAGGGGAGGGGAACCGAGGGGCTATCCCGCCCGCCCGCCCCGTCCACCAATAGCTGCGAGTGGGAGGAAGAGGGGCGACCCCGAGGTCCCTGGCGCAGCAGTGGGCGTTGGTTCCCTGAATTCCTGATCCAATCCGACGGTGGGCTCCCATCCAGAAAGAAGGGATTCTGCAACACCATTCTGCAGTCAGGCTAATTCCTGGAGAGCGGACAACCAGGAAACAAATACTCTGGAACCAGGGACAGCCCACCCCAGTGAGGAAACTGGGCGGGTGCTGGAATTTAGCAAAAAGACCTGACAAATGTGTGTGCCTTTACTCATCCAATCATTCATTGAGCATGTTTTGAGTTCCTAATTCTGGGTTCCTTAAGTTATGGGATTCCGCAGGAAACAGGAACTCACACCTGCCAGACAAAGTCACAAGTGTAGAACACAATTCAAAGTCAGATTTGCTGGGGCCCCAAGCCATAAAAACACATTGGGACTGGAGAAAACTTCGCATGGCATGCTGGGAATCAAACCAGGTCTTCTGGAAGTAATACAGTTTCATCAGGGTGGTCCCGGGAGGTGGAAGGCGGGAGGGGGGGGGGGGCTGGGTTCCAGGGACCTGATCATCTCCCCGCAGAGAATTTGGGATGAATGATCCAAATAAAGCTGAATAACAACAATTATTCTCAAATCTGAGAATCTGAGCGCCCCTAAGACTCAAAGAACCCTGGACAGTTCTTGATAAAGAGGCATGGGCCTTTTAAGTGATATTTCAAGTCAGCTGTTGATCAGTAGTTTGGCACTAGGTTAAATGAAAATACAGGAAGAGGTCACTAGAACAACCTTGGTGGGGACTAGAGGTGACCGGTGAGGTGGCTGAGAGAGAGGGGAATTAATCTAATAGATATTAGAGTGAAAGAAAGAATGGGCATAGAAAAAAACGAGGTTAAAGTTGAATTCCAGCTGAAGACTGGAAAACCAGCACTGGCTGTGAGGGCAAGGAAGAGGATGCTGGCTGCGGTCTGGGATATCCGACCCTTGCCTCAGAGGGGTCAACAGGATGCCCCTGCTTCCTCCCCGCAGATGAAAGTAAAGGCCTGGAACCTCCATTACTTTTCCCAGTAAAAAAAAAAAAAATTATGTGTGAGGTGACTGGTGGAGAATGTGAGCCTTGAACCAGCAAAATCATGAAGAAAGAGGCAAATGGAATATGGCTCCTGAGCATAAAGTTTTTGATCTATGTGTGTATGTGGGGGGCTTTCATTTAAACTCTTGAGTGGTCAGCAGTAACAGATATCAAGAGTTTGCTAGACACCCAGCGTTCTATGGGCAGTATTTCCTCTTGGGTTCACAATAACAGATCTTCCTGCTGGCGCGTGCTAAACACCTTGCCCAGCTGACCTATCTCTCTAGTTCTGCTTACACACACACACACACACACACACACACACACACACACACACACACCTTCCCCAGCATGAGGATGAAACCCAAGGCTTCATACATGCTAGGCACGCTAAGCAGTCTGAGCAGTCTGGCCAGGCCCTTATTTTGTTTTGAGACAGGGTCTCGTTATATAGTCCAGGCTGGCCTTAGTTCACGGCAGCCTACTTGCCTCAGACGCCTGAGTGCTGGAATTACAAGTAGGAGCCACCACATCCAGCTGGCTACTGGTTTCTTTGCGGTGTGGGGACTCAAACCCAGAGCTTTATACAGGTCAGGCCCCTCGACCTGTGTTGTTTACACTGGACTTAAAACATTAACATCTACATTAAGTTGTATCTGTGCTGCTATACCTCTCGCTGAAGAGGGATAGTCTTGTCTGCATGGCAGTCTGTTGTCAGAGCTACTGTGCAGTTCTCTGAGCCCGTCTGTACACTCAGATATACTTCCTAGCTCCCTGTGCCATCTATGCATAGCCTGGCCGATGTCTGGGATCCTGGCCTGTTTCAGTCACAGAACTTCATATAGAGGCCTGGGTTCACCTGCACAGAGCACCCATAACCCCCCACACACATTCACTGAGAGCCAGTAGAGACCAAGAAACTGAGCTCACCAGCCTTTGCCTGCCTGCCACTGCTCTTTTTCCTTCAAGCCCCATCCCAGGCTTGTCACACTGCAGGGCTGTCCCGAAGCTGTACTCAGTGCCTGGAATGCGCTTATCCCTCTCGCAGATTCTCTCCCTTTTTGGTACTCAGACAGCTGCTGAAACTCCCATTGGCCGGTGGAAATTTTCTTGGTGACCGTAGGAGCAGAGCCTGCCTCCTCCTCTTCCCTCCCACCCCCATTAACCAGCTGCACAAGCGTGGCGAGATGGCAAGGTTTCTGTATCCCTATCATTTGATTGGGATATTTGCAAGGACAATCAAGGAATTGTTATGAGGGTTAGAAAAGGTCATCCCTGAAATCAGACGGGGCTAGTCATTGAGCACATAATCCAGTTAATGCTAGGCTACCTTGATTATCTGAACATGTTGTTTTCCTGAGGCTGATTATCTCAGCATCTCCTGGGAAGGTACCATGAGTCAGATACCATGGCCATGAATACATAATCCCTTTTATGAGAAACTGACAATATCCTGGGGGAGAAAGGCAAGATAATGGTCCAGCAAATACACAAAAAGTGAGGGGAGATACTGCTTGTGGGATTTTTTGCTTCTACTTGGTGCTCTCTCTAGCATGGAGCCTAGTGCTGGTATAGTCTGGAGCCACATGGTGGATTTGGGGAGTCACATTTGTAGGGGGGAAGATAACTCACCCAGTCTCATATAGCTAGTGAAAGAACAAGGGTTCAAATCTTGCTTTGTCTGACCCCCAAACTGATATGCCATCTTGCCTTTCCTCAGCTGTTGAGGTTTCTCCAACCTAAACAGAGTCCCGAGTCTCTCTCTACACAGTAGATGCATTTGGTCCGGTGTTTATAGCTAAAAGCCACACTCTATTTATGTGTGTTTATGGTCCCTTCCTTCATCAGCCTGCACTGTAAACTGGCTGTCACTATTTATAGCCCTGCACTCACTTCACATTGCCCAGTCCCTGGGGGATGTGATTCTGCTTCTGGGTCTCCCGCCAGGACCCTGTGGGCTGTGTTCTTGCTCCTTTAGGAGTTACGGTCCCAGATATTTCTTATAATCTTCATCATAGAAACTTCACTTCATAAACTGTGCTTTGAACATTTTCCAAATAAATATAAAGGCCAGGTGTGGTGATACAGACGTGAAATTCCAGCACTTGAAGGAAGAGATGGAATCAGGAGCTCAATGTCCTCCTCAGCTGCATAGTGTGTTCAGTGCCAGCCTGGGCCAAAACAACAAAAATGTTTGTAATAGTGTTATCTTTTTCTCTAGTTGTCTCTGTGATTTTTCTCTCTCTCTCTTTGGAGCAAGGATCCATGTCCCAGGTATAGCACACTGTGTGCATGTGAAAAGAGTTAACTGTTTTAAGACCTCAGTAGGCCAGACATCGGCCTGTAATCCCAGCACGTGGGAGGTAAAGACAGGAGTCCAAGGGCATCCTTGACTACATAGAAGGGTTTGAAGCCAGCTTAGACTACTTGAAACCCTGTCTCAACAAGCAAAGCAAGGGGTTCAAGAGGTGGCTTAAAATGCCTGCAAGTATGAAGATAGAAGTTATGAGCCCCGGAACCCACATGGATGCCAGTTGAGTATGGTGGCCTGCTGGGAATTCTAGCCTCTGAAGAGAGAAACTGAGGCTCCTCAGAGTAAGCTCTCTCTAGTAAGCCAGATCAGTGCACTCGGATTTGATTGAGAGATACTGCCTTAATGAATAAGGTGAAAGAATAATTGAGGATGATTCCTGGTATTAATCAAAGGCCTCCACATGTGTGTGATGCAAGCATACATGCACCCATACATATGTGTGTGTGGTGATATATTGTGTACTCCAATATATTGTGTACCCTAGTAAACTTATCTGGGGATCAGAGGACAGCGTCAGCCTCTAGATTAGACATAGAGGCCAGACAGTGGTGACACACACCCTAATCCTATCACTTCAGGGGCAGAGATCCATCTGGATCTCTGTGAGTTCAAGGCCACACTGGGAACAGAGTCAGGCAGTGGTGGCACACGCCTTTAATCCCAGCACTTGAGATCTCATGTCTTTGCTTGGAAAGCACACACGCCTTTAATCCCAGGAAGTGACGTGGCTGGGTGGAGAATGGTATATAAGGCCTGAGGAGACAGGAACTGAGGAGACAGGAACTAAGCAGCAGTTCAACTGAACCCTCAGGGGTGAGGACTCGAGGCTTTCAGTCTGAGGATTCCTGGAAACAGGATCAGCTGAGGAGTTGGCAAGATGAGGTTGGCTGTGGCTTGTTCTGTTTCTCTGACCTTTCAGCTTTCACCCCAATATCTGGCTCCAGGTTTTTTTTATTAAAAGATCTCTTAAGATTCGTGTTGCAATTCATGTTACATGTGTGCCCATACATATGCTCCTACACATATAAAACATTCATATGCACACCCACATGAGAATGAAAACAAGAAAAAACTATGAAACTTTAATAACACTATTTTGTTCTGTTTTTGAGGCAAAATCTTGTTATATAGCTCTAGCTGACCTGTCTGATACTCATGTAGCCAAGGCTGGCCTCAAACTAATAGCATTTGTCCTGTCTCAGCATTCTAAGTCCTGGGATCACAGGTGTATGTTCCCATTGCAGGCAGCAATGATGCTTTTAAGAATAATTTGATAAGGGCTGGAGAGATGGCTCAGAGGTTAAGAGCACAGACTGCTCTTCCAGAGGTCCTGAGTTCAGTTCCCAGCACTCACATGGTGGCTCACAACCATCTGTAATGAGATCTGGTGCCCTCTTCTGTGTACATAATAAATAAATAAATCTTAAAAAAAAAGAATAATTTGATAAGTTCAGTAGCAATGTGGACCAAGGGTGCAGCTTCATGGTAGAGCATGCATTTAGCATATACAAGGGTCTTAGCTGA